AATTGCAATATATTCCTAAACATTAGTGTAAAAGAAAAAAAAAAAAAAAGAACCACAATTATTAGGTACTTTGTTTGAATAGTGAGTTCTTCCTTTTTTGATAACTTCCTTCTTCTTTGTTAAGGTATAGAAATTTCATTGAACGGAAAATAAAAGATTTCAGGGTAAGAAGTTGAACAATAAAAATAAAAATTTGTGAAGCAATAAGAATGCAATAGACCCCTAAAAGAGTAAAAAGGAGAGGCAAGGACTAAAAAGACACCCAAAAAAAAAAAAAGGCCTGGCTCTGGAATATATATCTGCCCAACAACACAGCACGAGGAATCAGGGGCGGAAACAGTCAACAGAGAAATTTTTCCAGACTGATTTTGACGTAACTCAATTTACACGCGATACAGTTTACTTTTCATAATCTATAAGTATATAATAAAATTTTATAAGTCTACATGTGACTTAAAAAAATGATGCATAAAATGAAATTTGTATCTTACGTCCTTCTAGCCAAATCTTGGCTGCCCCATTTCCCAGCAGGAGCATGACAACTTGACAGGGCATAGAATTGCAACATGTTGGTGCTGCAATCAGAGTGGATAGAGAAATAAAGAAAGAAGTATTCCCAATCGAAACACCGAAGCCGCGGACCATACTTTAATTTCTCATTCACCTCTGCTGCATGTGGATCCATCATTCCTGTGCTGCTCCTGTTGATTTGTTAGTAGTATTTATTTTCGCTGTAACTCCAAACTGGATTAGGACGAGTTTAATTCAGCACGCACCATATTTACATTCCACATAAAATAGAAGTTAGTGGAGTCTAGGAGGAATGCTCTAATTAGTTGGATGTCCTTGTTGCCAATTTACATCAAGAAAAAATTAATGTTACCCCAACATATTTAGAAACAAAAGAATCTAACGAATCTGATCTTTTCAACTTAAAAATACTACAATATATAATAAACCCATAATTAATTTCAAGCACCAAAGTATATCACGAAGAACTGATACTCTTTTATTATATTGGCTGTTGAGATTGTGGGGGTTATTTAGATTTTATAAAGTAGGACTTCTTGATATTAAATAATAAATTTGATAGGAATTATTGATCGCTTATTTAAGACAAACATCGCAAGGTCGAGAATGGCATTAACAAATCTTCGCCCTGTCGGCAAATCCACAAAATATGCATTTAGCACTAAGTTTTATATTAGAGTGTTTGGATACCAAAATTATTTCAAATAATATTTCGCTTGCATCATAAACACATTTTCCAACCTATCTTTTTATTTCACATACATCACATTATAAAAAGTACTATAGTAATTATTTCAAATAATACACTATCCAAATTATTAACCAAACTTGATAGCCCATAAATAAAAGGGCGTTACGAACACTAACTTTGGATATTTGGCAGCATTCAGAGCTTCTGTTGTATATCGGGCTAAAGGTGCAAAAGTATTTTGGAACTTTACGATTTCGAATTCCTTTAAGAGATAGCCGGCTTTCTATGATTATTTATTTGTTATTTTCATTTTTTTTTTATAGATATTTGTCTTTTGGAACTTGTGTAATTATAGATATTCTTATTAAATCCACTTTACGTGTTACTAGCTGTACAGATGCATTAAGGAGGAGTTAATTCAGTAGTAGTGAGTGTGTTTGGACTGTGAGTTATTTGGCCAAATATATTTGCTTACATCACCATTACAATTTTCAATACACCTTTTTATCTTCTCAATTACCTTTTTATCTCACATACATCACATCACAAAAAGTGCTACAGTAAAAATATCTCAAATAACTTACAATCCAAACACAACTAGTATTAAGCTTCTGATTTTGGCCCAAATTTTTAGGTCTTTGTCAAGTCTTGAGCGCCTCATGCCAGGCTTGAAAAATCGGCGAAGAAATAAAAGGCAAAACTCCCGAAGATGCCTGATCATTGATACTACTACTAATTAATTAACAGAAAGAAAAGAAGAAGAAATAAGCACGAGGAGTGGACTGGACTCTGGAGTGACACCTATAAGAAGCAAAGACAAAAAACAAATGTAAAATGACAGGGTCCGTTTGGATTAGCTGTTTTTGGGGTTGTTTTTCAAAAACAGCACTGTAGCATTTCGTTTTTCAAATACAAGTCCGTTTGGATTAGTTATTTTTGAGGTTGTTTTTCAAAAACTATATGAAAAACTTTTACTGTAGATGTTTTATGGATTATTTGTAGATGTATTTTTAAAACATATTTTCAAGTATTTTTATAATTTATAATTTTTATATTTTTATAACAATATATATTTATGCATTTATAATACATTTATAAATATTTATAAATAAATATATTTATATAAAAATATATAAATTATAAATGTATAAATTATAAATGAATATCATATAAATGTATAAATGTATAAATTATAATTTCCAATTTTTATATTATTATATTTATATACATTTATGCATTTATAATACATTTATAAATATTTATAAATAAATAAATTTACATATTTATAAATAAATAAAAATGTATTATATTATGTATAATACATAATATAAATACATTTATAAATATATAAATTATAAATGAATATCATATAAATGTATAAATTATAAATTATAATTTTTATATTTTTATATTTATATACATTTATGCATTTATAATACATTTATAAATAAATATATTTATATATTTATATAAATATAAGTAAATGTATTATAAATGTATTATATTATATATAATACATAATATAAATATTTTTATAAATGTGTAAATGAATATTATATAAATGTATAAATTTTAAATTTTAAATTTTTATATTTATTTATAAATATATTTATATATTTTTGTAAATACCTTTATAAATATTTATAAATGAATATTTATATATATTTATAAATAAATATTTATATATATTTATAAATGAATATTTACATATATTTATAAATAAATATTTACATATATTTATAAATAAATATTTATATATATTTATAAATAAATATATAAATGTATATTATTATAAATATATAAATTATAAGTGAATATTATATAAATGTATAAATGTATAAATTATAATTTTTATATTTATATATTTATATACATTTATGTATTTATAATACATTTATATATATTTATAAATAAATGCATTTATGTATTTATAAATGCATTTATATTATATATAATACATAATATAAATGTATTTATAAATGTATAAATTTATGTTATTATAAATGTGTATAAATTATAAATGTATAAATTAATATATTATAAATATATATTAATATTATGTATAGGTGTATTAATATAATAAATATAAATGTATAAAGGTATTAATATCATGTATAAATGTATAATTAATATTATGTAAATTAATATAAATGTATAAATGTATAATATTATATATAATACATAATATAAATGTATATTATAAATATACATAAACATATATATTATGTATATATTAAATATATAATTTTTAATATTTAATATTCATAAATTTGTATAATTACATATTTATATTATATGTAATTTATATAATACATAATATTTGTATAAATATATTATAGAAATATAAAAATATATTTTATATAAAATAAAATATAAATTAATATAATATATATATCCTATACATAATTGAAATATACAAATTGAAATAAACATATTAAATATGTATTTGGAGTTGTTTTTGATATATTGTTTGGATATAGTGTTTTTGGAGTTGTTTTTGAAATACACATCACTGTAGCATTTGGAACGTGAAAAACAGTTTTTCAAAAACAGACCCAAAAACAATGAATCCAAACAAACCCAACAGATGAATGGTGGAATTAAGACAGCAGTGGCTTGGCTCACGTTTGACTTGCGAGCCGAATAAATGGCCAGCAAGGGAAATGGAAATGGATTGGAGGCAGCTAAGCCACCGACGTCCACCGCGTGGTCCCATTTTCCAGCCTGTCCAATACCCCAGCACACATATTCATCCATAAAGCATACATTCCCGGCCCCCCCCCCCCTTCTACGCCCCTAGTGTAACAATACTAAGCAGTGTGGACTCCTAATAAGTGCGCCATTACTCTTACTTCTAAGTACAATACTAATCATTTGTATTGCTATTTTTAAAAATTTTTATAGGAAAATATATTAAAACAATATGATATAAGTGAGGTAAAAAATTTAATTAACTAAAATGTAAAAAATTTTCTACATAAAATTATGCCCTGTTGGAATGTGAGTTTTTTGAGAATTTATCTAAAACTTTACTATAATTTATTATAGAAGGTTTTTTAAAAATTTTTGAAATGTATAGGATTTTTGAATATTTTGAAATGTATAGTTTAAAATTTTGAGAAATTTTTTGAGATTATTGTAGTAAAAATTTTTAAAAAATTTGTAGCAGGGAAACTTGACAAAAAACTTGGGTTCCAAACAAGGCCGCAATCCAAACAACGGATTACATCTTTAGTTCACAAACAATTAGCATAGCATAGCACAATCTTGGGCCACTAATTTTTAGATTTTATCGTTTTGGGACCAATATAAACATTGCCCATAACTTTATAGCTAGTGTTAATTAATATTCACGTAAAAGTTAGCAAAAGATTGTAGTGATAAAGGGTTGCACAAGTTTAATGAATGGATAAGAGATTAACCACATTTGAACAGGGTTAATCAAAAAGATCAAAGCCAAGACAGTAGTAATTTTTTAATCAACAACATACGAAAGGTAATAAGTACTACCATCCACCAGAAGCATATTTTGTAAAAAAAAAAAAAAAGAAAAAGAATTATGAAGTGTCCGAAACAACAACTTTTCATTATTGTCTCCCGCGGGTTCCAATTGTTTCCCTCTTTCCACCGGTCCCGGTCTTTTTAATCTCCAAGCAATCTCCTACGGTGCATTTCTTTTCCCAACTCTCCTCCTTTTTACCAAACCTCGGGCACAAAACTATGCCCCCTTACCCTTAGGCCTTAAGCCTCAAGCCTCACCCGCCCTCCCTCCCTCCCTCACACAGCACACACTTCAATATCTGCCTCTCTCTCTTCCGTAGTCCCACAACTGCTACTTTTAATACCATTCCACCAAACAACGCACACCCCTACTGCCTACGCTAAAACAAAAAAGTCTACGTTTTATTTCCCCCATCCAAGTACAGCTCTTCTTCACAAGAGCGAGCGAGAGAGAGAGAGAGAGAGAGAGAGAGGAAGCACCAAAGATACACAAAACGCATTCTAGAGTTTTGTACAGTGAGAAAGTAGTGACAGGAGGGTCTTCGGGACAGGACAGGCGCCATGGGCTTTCAGATCTATGGCGTTTTCCGGCGATTACTTCTCTTGATGATCGTTGTCTGTTCTACATCCGGTGCTACATTGCGTGAAAATTCTTCATCCTCCTCCAAGAAGCACTCGTCAAGCTCAACCTCAGCAACCTCCCCCCAGATTAACTCTAACTCCGTTCTGGTGGCCCTTCTGGACTCCCATTACACCGAGCTCTCTGAGCTCGTGGAGAAGGCCCTTCTGTTGCAGACTCTAGAAGAGGCTGTTTCCAAGCACAACATCACCATTTTCGCCCCCAAGAATGAGGCCTTGGAGAGGGATTTGGACCCCGAGTTCAAGCGGTTTCTGCTGGAGCCAGGCAATCTCAAGTCCTTGCAGAATCTCTTGCTCTTTCACATGATACCCTCTCGCATTGACTCTGCCCATTGGCCTCACCACCGCAGCTCCAACAAATCCTCCCACCACACCAGCCTCTGCAAGGATGCTTTCGACGAGAGCCTCAGGATTTCTCACCGCAACGGCGACGACCACATCAGCGTCGCCAGAATCTTCAAGCCCAACGACATCGTTCGGCCTGACGGCATTATTCACGGGATAGAGCGCGTGTTGATACCTAAATCAGTCCAACAAGATTTCAACTCCCGGCGCAGCCTCAGGGCCATTTCGGCTGTTTTGCCCGAAGGAGCACCGGAAGTAGACCCAAGGACTCACCGACTGAAGAAGCCCGCCAGTCCTGCCCCAGCAGGGTCTCCTCCAGCTCTCCCCATATATGATGCCATGGCTCCGGGGCCATCCCTGGCACCAGCCCCAGCTCCCGGGCCAGGCGGACCTCACCATCATTTCGACGGCGAGGCCCAGATCAAAGATTTTATTCAGACGCTATTACATTACGGCGGGTACAACGAGTTGGCCGATATTCTGGTGAACCTCACATCGTTGGCCTCAGAAATGGGGAGATTAGTGTCGGAGGGGTACGTGTTGACGGTTCTGGCGCCGAACGATGAGGCAATGGCCAAGTTAACAACAGATCAACTGAGCGAGCCAGGTGCGCCGGAGCAAATCGTGTATTATCATTTGATTCCCGAGTACCAGACGGAGGAAAGCATGTACAATGCGGTGAGGAGATTTGGGAAAGTGAGGTACGATACTTTGAGACTGCCGCATAAGGTGGTGGCTGAGGAGGCTGATGGGTCGGTGAAGTTTGGGCAAGGGGACGGTTCTGCTTATTTGTTCGATCCTGATATATACACCGACGGCAGAATCTCCGTTCAGGGAATCGATGGAGTATTAATGCCGCCGGAGGAAACTAAGCTTGCGCCCAAGTCTTCCCCTCCTGTGGCCAAGGCTGCTGTGAAGCCAAGGAGAGGTATAGTTCTTTCTTCTTCTTGAACCACTTTTTTTTTTGGTTTCAAAAAAAATTATTTTTTGTTTCTAATATTGGATTTTATTTATATAGCAGCAGTAATTAAATTGCGTTTGTTTAGGATGAAGACAAATTTCACCTCTGGCACGCTTGCGCAGTTGCGCGTGCATCCATAGATTGATGAAACAAAGGTTGATGGAAATATTTGTGTAAAACCAATGAATGCCAAATATTTCTGCAGAGATAGTGAATTTAACGGTGGTTGAATTTTGATACTCAGTAAATTGATAGGATAAATGGGTCAAAAAATAAAAAAGAGGTCAATGATGATGAGAATTGCGCATAGTAGAAACTTAATAATAAATGTTTTATCTTTGTTGGATTAATTGGGCACTAAGCTAAGTAAATACTACTACTGCTAGTGTTGTCACTTTAGGCTTTTGCACTCGAATTGAGTTAAATCTAGCCACATCACAATAATAATAATCAGCTTTCTTTGTCACTCTTTTCTGTTTTACTTTTAATAATAAATAAATAAAGTCCTCAGAGCTGGTGGGTGTCGAGTTTTGTACTGTTCAAAGTGTGCGTTATTGGATTTAAGGATGAATAAAAAATAGTTTTAGGATTGAATGTCAGGCAGCGGTGGTGTCGGTGACCCTTGGAACGTAGGAAGGTATCCCTGTGCATTAGTGTGGAGTGGTTGAAGAAATCAAACAGAGAGAGTTGTTTAGTTTATTTATTTATTAGATGATGAAGTGCATAATAACCAAGGGTTGATCATTGATGGAAGAAATGCCTTGGCAAGAGATTCCAACGCAACCCCAGCTGTGATCCACGCCCTACTTATTCACTCATGATGGATTGATTCCTACCTTCAGTCTTGAGAAAAGCCTCCTCCTGTCTCCTGACCCTACTCCTGAGATGGTTTTCATGTGGGGGCTAAATTTGATGTGTTATAGAATGAATGGCTTCATGCAAAGAATCGCTCTGCCTTATTCTTGGTCATAGTATTAACTTGTGATGGGGTTGTTGTTGTATTGATTAAATTTTTTTGCTAATTTATTAGTATGCTGCTGTTGTAGTATTGATTAGAGGGATAATACAGGAGTAGTGATTGGATGTTGGGGGTCTTAATTTAATGGCTTTTACTCGTGCAGGGAAATTGATGGAAGTGGCTTGTAGAATGCTGGGGGCTTTTGGGCAGGATTCTCAATTCACTAGCTGTCATTAAATGTTTTTTTTGCAACCCCAGGAAATTGTCAAAGGTTTAAAAAAAAAAAAAAAAAAAATTGAAACGCAATGATGATGCAGCAAGCAAGCAAGGACTAGGAGGAGGCTGGGTCTGGTCTGTAAATGGCTTCTCTTTTACTTGCTAAATCCAAGTGCCAACAATTCTGGATGGAAAAAAGGATAATAGAAAGAAAGAGTTTCCTGAATTATGGCAGTTTTTTTTTTTTTTTATAGGAACTTGAAAATTGTGCATGACAAAATAAAGTGGGGAGGATGTTCGATTGAAGTAAAATTCACCTTGGAAACCCACAGAAAGAGGAGAGAGTTTCTTTGTTTTTCCATTTTGTTATGAATACTGTAATTACATATCGATTTTTTTATTGTATTTAAGTCCCTTGGGTTTTTTTGGCTGCCTGGTGCCGACAGTAGTGTATACGTACAATCCTTGGGAAGTTGGTTGGTTGAAAGAACGCAACAGCTCTTTGGTTTTTCTTTGCAAGATCACGGGGTTGTCTTTCCTTGTTTGTGGGCTGTCCTTCCTTTCTCATCGCTATTATTTATTAATAATAATTATAATAAATGGTGTTTTGAGTTGGGGCGTTAATCATTTTCCTAAGGGCAAATTATCCATTTAGCCCTTGAACTTTTAGTTTAAGTAAAATTAAGCCCTCTAACTATTTATAGTCAATTTTCAGCCCTCGAACTTGTAAAATTGGAAACCCGTGTTCCTTTTACCTAGATTATCCGGTTTTGCAACCGAAAAATCAAATCACATGAATTACAATATGCTATCAAGGAGGGCATTTTTGTCTGTATATTCTAAGCAAAAAGTGAACAGCTCTATCTTCTTCCCTTTCCCTAACCCAACCTGCCATCGTCGAAGATCAGCCTCCAAGAACCCCAAGACTTACAAATACTACAGTAATGCCATCATTCAGAGATTCAGGGACAACCCCTCCTTCCTCCCCTCCCCCAACAAAAAAAATCACTTTTTCCGAAGTTCGCAAGACCATCGTTGGAGACGTCCGCAAGACCCACGTATTAAAGTGCACTCCTCTCCTCTTTTTGGCTTCTTGATTTCCATCCAGAAGTTTGCTCAAAACAAAACAGCCCATCTTCCACCCACAACTCTTAGCTATTGAGTTTCGAAATGGCCACTGTCACCTCCGCTGTTGTTTCCATCCCATCATTCACCGGCCTCAAGGCCTCCGGTGCACCAGCTTCTAGAGTGAGCAGCACTGTTAAGGTCTTTGCTGCCTCTCCCAAGCTCGCCGTGAAGGCTTCCCTCAAGGAAGTAGGTGCTGCTGTAGTTGCTACTGCTGCCAGTGCAATGCTCGCAACCAACGCCCTGGCCGCCGAGATCTTGCTTGGTTCTTCTGGTGGCGAGCTGATTTTCGTCCAAGCGAGTTCAGTGTGGCTTCTGGAGAGAAAATTGTTTTTCAAGAACAATGCCGGGTTCCCCCACAATGTAGTGTTCGATGAGGATGGAGTTCCTTCTGGTGTTGATGCATCTAAGATCTCCATGTCGGAGGAAGACCTTCTCAACGCACCAAGAGAGACCTTCTCGGTCTCTTTGACAGAGAAGGGAACTTACACTTTCTACTGTTCACCTCACCAGGGAGCCGGCATGGTTGGCAAAGTCACTGTTAACTAAATCTGTATTTTTATTACTCAGGAACTCCAAAAATTCTTCCACAAATGGCCTCTTTAACACGAAGAAATCCACTCTTTCTCCATCTATCACCGGCCTAACTATGAAATCATACTTTTCTAGGGCAGGGCTCGGCTGGGAATGCACCAGAGTCTTGTCCAAATCAAGAAAGACAGTGTTTTTCTCTGGCGAAATTAGTGGTGGAAGTGCAGAACTTTTTTCGTCATCAAACAGAGCTCTTCTGATGCTACTTTTGGGATCTTCAGAACCCTTTTGAAGTAATTGATACCCCCATTTTCTTGGGCTCTTCTTCTTAATTGGAGTTGAAATGCGCGCTAATTTGGAGAAAATCTTGATGAGGCGGTGGTGGCAAGTGTAAATGGACTTGTTAATCGACGCAAGCACCACTAAAGCAGCGGCAGAGGCATTCTTTACGGGGGATTTTTTCGGTGTTGGTGGCTATGGAGATGGTGACGTGAATTTTTGATGGACTTTGTTGGGGTTTTCTTCACAATCTTGGACACCATTTTTGTTGGATTTCGTGGAGACGATCGAGAAATCAAGATGAAAGGGGAAAGGACGAGTGGTTAATTGATGCGATTTTTAGTGGGGGAAAGGAGTATATGGGGAAACCAGGAGAGAATAGAGTGGGTAGTTTTAAAAATTTTGCTTAGAGTCAGACTCAGTTATCCCCAATTTGCAGAAGCTTAAGAACTCTAGAAATCTGTGCCTATTTGGTTGGGTTTGGGAAAGGGAAGAAGATGAAGTTGTTATGTGGACAAAAATGCCCTTCTTTCCGGTTGCAAAACCGGATAATCTAGGTAAAAGGGTCACGAGTTTTCAATTTTACAAGTTCGAGGGCTGAAAATTGACTATAAATAGTTAGAGGGCTTAATTTTACTTAAACTAAAAGTTCAAGGGCTAAATGGATAATTTGCCCTTTTCCTAAAGAGGAACTGAATGAACCATAATGATGATGATGATATTTACCAAAGCTGTGACGGGTGTCGGTGATGGTTGTTTGCAACTTTGCATGCACTATTACTATTTCCTTCCCTTTTTTTTTTATAATTGACGTTTAAAAAATTTATTCTAGTGTATTTTTATCTGTCGTTTTATTATTCTCATACAGTATTAATTACTCCATCCGTCCCACTTTTATAGTCTTGTTTTCCTTTTTCGTCCGTCCCAAATTGTAGTCCACTTCCCCATTAAGGAATGTAGTAATTTTTCAAATTGTCTAAAATACCCTTATTAAATATCTTGTTATTAATATATTGTTATTAAATACTAACTCACTACATTGAATACATTGAGGTTTTCCAATGCACTCTTCGTGATTAGCATAAGGGTATTTTAGGAAATTATTAATCTAAATTTATGTTTCCAACCAAATTAATTACACTTTCTTAATCTGTGTGAAAAAAAAACCAAGACTAATAAAACGGGACGGAGGGAGTATTTTTTTATAATTTTATTCTTTTATCTCTCTTTCTTAATACAGGGTTCTTAATTACTACTCTAGTTTGGTGGGAGTTAGTTTGCATTGCTTTTAGTTTAGTAAAATAGCACCATTTAATACTTTAGTGAGAGAAAATATGGGTGAATTGGACAATTAATGAGGGTATAAAAGAAAAGTAGTGTATAGATTTAAGCAATGAAATTTTTTTTTTAATTAATGTGCAAAATTTTAAACATCAGTTATAGTTATAAAAAAAGGAAGGAAGTATTATCTTTCGTGACCGAGACATCAAAACAGAAGCCGAAGCTTTAAAAATTGTATGATTATCAATAATTGGCTAATTCCTTTTTTTTTTTTTGGCATGCCGTCTCTCTGACTCGGACGAACTCAGAGGTTTGTTTATTGCATGCATGATTAAGAGGACTGCCAAAGAGAATGAGCTGGCTAACTTGGAATTATGCTCTCCAGTTGGAGGAATGGCTTTCGTGGCCTGGTGGGGTATTATTATTATTATTATTATTATAATAGGAGAGAGTATCCCATTTTATGGTTCTGATGATCAGCAACCGGAAAAAAAGTCATTCGAGCTTCACATAAACATTTAAGCTTTGAATTGAATTTGATGATATAATACAACAGCTGCAAACCCAAACCCTTCAAATTTTTAATGTAGTAGTAACATGCAACATTCTACGGATCTTGAATCGGTGCCCCACTTCTCTGATGATATCAATAATCTCTAGACTGCTGATTTTTTGCTTGTTTAGGGTGGAGGAGGGACTTTGGATTAGGTTGGGCTGGTCAAAGATAAGGATGGGCCACCAGCAGCGAAGACGAACCAAATTATAATTATTAAATGAAAGAGTAAATACTTATAGAACTAATAAGTGAATAATAATACCGTAGGTAAATAAACGTTTTTGGAGTGCCAATTGGGCGTTTGAGCTTGCGGTAAAATTATATTATTGTTTCCTTCTAGTTGGGTTGCCACCAACTCAATTTCGGTGCAGGTGACATGCACGGCATGTGCAATCAAATCAAGGGTAATTTTGGTACAAAAAGTCAAAAGAAAAAAAAAAGAAATTTCACTCGAATTTTTTTTTTTACCAAAATTGGGTTGATAAATTATGTAGACGCCGCTTTATAAGTTTAGTTATTCAATTGACGAACTAGAATCTAATTTCTCATATCCGCAATTTTTTTATTACTATCAGATCTAAATTTCTCTTTGAACTTGAATCAGTTTCAATCAGATCTGATTGTCAGCAGGTATGCACTGATGCATTGAGCTACAGTAATTCATTTGGACGGAACATATATTGAAACATCAATATATGTTATCTTTATTTGTATTGTTTTCTTAGATCTGTTATACATTGCCTTCAAATCTATCTGTGTCGGTGTCGTGTTTGTTTGATGTATTTTCTGTCATTAATGTGTAGGTTTGTTTGAATAAAATGATCTTTTTTATCCAAAAAAAAAAAAATTATTCAATCAATTGACGTAGCTAAAAGTTAAGGTACTAAAGTGTCACTTTCTAAAAATTTAGGTGCCTACGGTGACATTTAGCCTACTTTACTTAACTGAACTGTGAAGCATCAAACTACTTCATTAAGCTCGTAAAGTATACCATAGAGAGAGGGACTTTCAGTATCATATTTTTGAAAAAAAAAAAAAAATCCTGAGTCCCATCCTGTACTAGTTTTTTTTTTTTTTTTTTTCTCATTCTGTCTCGGTCAGGATACGTTGACCAAATGCTGTTAGCCCTAAGAGCATTAAAAGGCCTCACGATGTGTATGGATCATAGAATTCAGAGTTGGTTTGCTAAGAGTGAAATTGGAACGGTCCAATCTGTAAGTTATGGACTCCCGACTACTAGCCCATATCATTCTGGGGGCTTCATCATCTAAGTTGCCGACAGCCTAGCGTCTCCAGAACAAGTCTTACTCTTTAGGGAGGCTTGCCTCGTCAGTGGCTTGCTGTTAATTGTACAAGCAGTATTTTTTTTTCCTCATTAAAAAAAAAAAAAAAACCTCCATTCTGCGTTTTTGTTTTTGTGACTCATAATTAGTTTCCAATAATATTTTTCCTTTTTGTTGCCGTGTTTTATCTCTAAAAAAAAGGTTTATTTTGTTATATAATCCATTTATCATTTCCTTATGCGTCAGATCCTTCCATTCCATACGTAGAAGTCCCGCAATAATCTTCCATCCATGCAAATGTGAAGGGCCTTTCTGCCTGCATCCAAGTCTGTTCGTACTACATTATTCATTAGTACTTCTTGCTAAGGTAATATA